TTTCAGACATGCATAAATTTATGTAAAATCATTTGCACCAAAATGAGAACTACATCTTGTATACTGCATTTGACACCGTTTTGTTTATTTAATTCTTCACTTTTTCACTCAATTGTTTGCATTAGTTTTTTTACCTTATATTTCATGCTTTTTTGAAATTTTAAAGTTGTTTCCTACATTTCAAAGTGTTTAGAATTTAATGGTAACATTAAATTTCCATAAAACTCAACGGTTCATTCTGAATACTGTAATCAGCCTTAAAATTCAATTGATTTTTAAGAGCTGGATTTTCATTATTTTTTGACATTTTAAATTTGTTTCCTACACTTTCAGACATGTATAGAATTATGGTATCAATCAATTTGCATCAAAATGAAAACTGTACCTTGAATAATGCCTTTGACATGTTTCTTTAATTAATTCCCACACGCTTAATTATCCTTATTTTATGTACTTTCAAGTTCATTTCCTACACTTTGAAAGGTTTTCAAATTGTTGACTGTATCCATTTTGCATTCAAATAAAATTTGTATACAGTACAAATTATGCAAGAAATGGTGTACACTCTTATATTGAGATTGAAGATTTTCTTTTGAGGCAAAATGAATTCTACCATTAAATTCTACACACTTTTAGATGTAGTAAATAGATTTACAATTTCAAAAAATGAATAAAATTGAGCCAGTAAAAATTAATTAAAAAAACATTAAAACAAAACCTGTCCAACGCAGTATTCATTACCAATCGTTTGTTTTTATGCAAAATGATTGTTACCATCATTTTTAAAATGTCTTAAAGTGTGGGAAATAAATTTGAAATGTCAAAAAAGAATGAAAATTAAGCTCTAAAACTTTAAGTGAAAAAATGGGTGTAATTTGAGTATTAAAAGTAAACCGTTGAGTTTTAAAAAAATTGGATTGCGCCATTAAATTCTACGCACATTAAAACCTAGGAAATAAACTTAAAATATCAAAAAAACATAAAAAATAAGGTACATACATGTATGCAAACAATTAATTTAGAAATGAGTGGAAAAAAAAATTAATAATCAAAATTCATTTTTATGGAAAATGGTTTTTACCATTAAATTCTACACCTTTTAAAGTGTAGGAAACAACTTTAAAAATTCAAAAAACTCAAAAAATAACCCATAAAAAATTAATTACAAAACCGTGTTTAAACGCGGAAACCGCGTGCGCTGTGCCGCAGCAAAACCGCGTGTAAACGCGGAAAAACCGTGTTTTTTTATTAACGCCCTTTTTTTTCCCCCTGGACTAACTTCAGTGCAAAGGGGAGCCCTTTTTCCATAATGATCTGCTATACAGCATTGAATTGGAATTTGGGCTTAGCAATTGCCATGAATGGTTCCTTCTGTATAAAGGCTTCCTGGTATGCCTGATGTATTAGGGTAAAATTGAAGTAGGGTTTCCAAAACCCCATTTTCCCTCCCATAATTCATCCAATCAAAATTTTGAGAAACATGATATTGCATTGTAAAATTCAAAAAACAAGAGTGCTTTTGATATTTTCAAGACTTTATGTATGTCTAAATATGGAATCAAATTCAAGCTGCAAAAAATCAATGTTGTTATTATTACAGATTTAATGTTGAAACCAAGGTTTCTTAAATTTTATATTATGCAATGATATGTTAGACTGAATCTGAAACCAAATTCAACCTAAAACAAAGCAATATTTTAAAATACACTGCAAAAGGGGTTGAATTAGTTACAACCTGCCACCATAAGGTTGCCTGGAGGAAACCAATATAAGATCAGTCTACTTGAACAATTTTATATTGGCCAGGCCCACCAATAAATTTTTACTTTGTTCTAATTTATTGGTGGGCCCAACCAATAGAAAATTGGTCAATGAGACCAATCTTATATTGGTTGCCTCCAGGCATCCTTATTGTGGGGGGTTGTTACCAATACAGCCCTTTTTGCAGTGATAATGTGTGATGAAAACATGATTAATTTTTTGTTATGAAGATATTATGTAAGACTAAATCTGAAATCAAATTCAATCTAGAGAAGATCAATTTCATGACAGATTATATGATAGTAGACCTGTCTCATCTTTGTGATTTAATAGTTTTGAATAGCAGGTCTTGAATCTTGTTCTTTTCTCATAATCATGAATCTAACTTGTCAGTTTATTTTGTGTCTTTTTTATTTTCTTTCAGTTCCAAGTTGGACCAAATTTTCAACAAGATTATTCTGGAATTCATGTAATGACCACAGTTGATCAGAACCCTCTTCCAAAAAATCACACATTCTGCCTTTTTTATTAAGCCTGAAGAAAAATGGATTAGTTGTCACTCAATCATGCTTTTTCAAATGTGATAGAGGCTTACATCGTAGATTACGTTGCTGCTGTTGCCACCAAGCGCTAGGATCCGACCGGGCTGGAAACTGCTCCAATAGCAATATACTGCTTGAGAGATAGATACTCACGATTAAACTGGCAGTAATTAACTCGACGTAATGATCGACGATATACAAGAAGGGAGAGCCGCCCCATCGAGCAAACACCGCGGCCGTGACAAGGATGGTGCATATGAGACTATTGAAAGCTGGTGTTGAAAATGGACACGATTTTTTTTTGAGCTGACTATTTCAGCATATCACATATAACAGCATCTGGGTTGAGAGGAGCAGCTAAGGGGGACTGACCATTAAATTTATAAGATAATCGTGTGCCATCTCTCAAGACAGTACCATCAACCGATTTGCCAGGGAGTACTAGCCAGCAGAGTACAAGGTATGTACATATACCATCCAAGATAGACGTAGCAAGCCTCGAGACTGAAGAAGTTGGTCGTGTTCCATAGAGTCCGAAGGTCCAGGATTTGGGGACCCAGCAAACATCGAGTTTGAGGAGTACAGGCCAGATTCAGCCAATAGGTGAAGAACGGGACTGATAAAGTAACGCCGAGCGCTACGATCCGACCGCCGACTTCGAGGATGTTAAGAATGCATGATAACTATTGATCAGCCGAGATCGCATCTTGGCAAATCTTTAGGAGACTCAATCTCTGAAATACTTACATTCAAATTTGGTCGTCCTGGGGTTGACGACAGCTCGCTTGGCTGTTTCGGTTGCTTGTCCCATCTCGAAGGAATTTGGGACCGAGCTTACAGATTCCGACGGCTTTGTATGAACGGTTTGTGGGTATCACTGGTTTCGTGGTTCTTGAGAGCTTTGTCCTAGGAGATGCGCTGCGTGTTTACATAAATACATCTGACCGGTGCGCCTGAATACTCAATGCACTGTCGGACAGGGTACATATCTCCGACAAGCTCTGCACGCTTCCGCACCTCATTGGGAAACACTTGGATTATAAAGGAGTGTGATTGGTTATGAGAAATAAGGATTTAAATGAATGGAAGGCAACAGAATGAGAAAAAAAAACGGGAAATAAAACGAAGAAATTGAATGGACACAAGAAGAAGCAATTAGCTGGGGGCGTGAAGAGACGAAAAAAAAATGAAGAGGGCAAGATAAAAAATAAAATAAAAAATGAATGTACACAAGAATAAAGTAAAAGGGGGGGCAAAGAGACGAAAAAAGTGAAAAGAGGAAGATAAAACAAAAAAACGGTTTACACAAGAAAAAGAAAAGGAGGAAAGGAGGAGCGAAGAGATGAAAAAAAGACAAATAAAGATAGATGAAGTTAATCCTTGGCCAGCAAGGTCCCTAGCGAGCCACACTCGTCGATTTCAGTGGGTGGATGATTGGCCGGTGATGACACGGCACTCCAGGACAGTGAGCTGGTGTTGCACCGCAGTGATTTGACGCTCCAGGATAGCAATCAATTGGGCAGATGGGCGTTCCGAGGACGCGATTTGTTGCTCCGAGGAAGTGAGCTGGAGTGGCACCGCAGCGATTTGACGCTCCTGACGCTCCAGGATAGCAATCAATTGGGAAGATTGGTGTTTGATTTGTTGCTCCAAGAATGACGTTTGGTGTTCTCGGCATTCAGCAGGTGCCTTCAATGCAGGATCTACATACGAGACAGAAAAGAACGAGTAAGGATGTGTATTTTCAAATCAGATACACCTATTTATGTATCTACCACAGCTTACCGGACTTGGTTGACTCAGACTTAGCCCGAGGGACAATCATATAGACTTTTTTATAACTCAATCAGCACCTTTTGTACACACAAGTATGAAGGGTTAAAAAAAAAAACTGACCGAGAAGGGCCAAGATAGCGGCATGAGCAATAACCACAAGCATGATCACTTGCAGCAGAAAAAAAACAGAAGTGGCGTAAGCAAGTGGTTAAAAGCAAACAGGCCTGTGTAGTAGAGACTTACCTAGGTCTCTTTTGGTCAGACAGTCAACGAAAAATGTCGCTGCTTTCGTCACGTACTCTTCTGAAAATTTGGGTGCGTGGTCTAGAGGCAAATGGCAACATCGGTGTCTTATAAACACTATCAAAGAAGGAATATACTCACTTGCCAGAATGGTGGTGATCATGGTCGCGTATGCCATGGCAACTGGTGTGCCTACCGCCAGGGAGGGTAAAGTTGAGAAGCGGAAACGGATGGAGAAGTGGGAAAGACTGAACCAGACAGGAATTCTGGGACTCCAGTCCATTTATCTAATGTTGTGTACCACGGCAGCAGCTTCCTGCTGCACAGACTGGCCAGTTCCCTCATGTGCATGCCCAAGGCCACTGATCCCACAGGACTTGCTTGTGCCCACAAGATTGCGGAAAGATTATGGACAACAATCAGCTATCCGAGTCGACGGTTGGTGGTAGTGGCTTGAATATGCTCATACACAAAAAGTCCACAAGTTCTTCGCCGGTCGAGACTTTCAATCTCAAGCCCAGGGAGAACTTAGTCGGTTACAGGAGGAAGTGAGGCAGCTACGGAACCGGCTAGATGACACCGGTTACAGGACGAAGTGAGGCAGCTACGCAACCGGCTGATGACCATGACCGGCTGGCTGGCACTAGATCGAATGGAGAAGACGCTGACTCACCTGGTCTCTGCAGCAGCCAACGGAAAGGCAC